CGAGACCTGCGACTTGAGTTTCATGGAGAACGGCCTTTGAGTTCCACTTTTGTGGAAATACGGCTAAAACCAGCGGTTGAAACCGTCGTAAGAAACTACAATGGCATGGCCGCTCTCAGGTTTCTCTCTGGTATTACATATATGGGTGAGGGTAAATTAGAGCTGCCATTTACCCTCACCATCCGCTTTTCACCAATCAACGCTCGGTGTCAAAGCGCCGGTATCTGCATGAGGATCCAGCCTAACTGCATAAACTTGCTGCTGTTGTGTGCGCTTCAGCATGCTATAGGCCTGTTCTACAATACAGTCGTAAGCTGTAAGGCCTGGTTTATGTGGGCAATAACTGTTAACTTATGCCGGAACTGGTAGAGTTTAACTATAGGATTCCAATACTTCTGTTTATACGCATTCGGCAATTTCGTATAAACAGAAGTATTAAAATCATATAGTTAAACTTAACCGCGGTTCCGGCATAAGTTAACAGTTATTGCTCGCATAAACCAGGCCTAAGTCGCAAGAAATAGGGCAATCACAGATAAGGCTCATTCTACAATAAGATATTAGTTTAGTCGTAAGCTGTATGTCGTAAGAAATGAACCAATCACAGACAAATTACAGAAGAATAATCGATTGTGATTGGTTCATTTCTTACGACTTACAGCTTACGACTAAACTAATATCTTATTGTAGAATGGGCCTAAATTACAGAAGAATAATCGATTGTGATTGGTCAATTTCTTACGACTTACGACTTACGACTGTATTGTAGAACAGGCTATAAGAGAGCCAAAACTGAGAACACTGGATGCACCATGCATCTAAAGCCTGTTCTACATTAAGCGCAAGACGCAAGTAGATCTCGAATGGAATTGACTAATCGCATTGATTAAATCAACCAATTGACCAACGTGATTGGTCAATTTCACGAGACCTGCTACTTGCGATTGTATCTTGCGCTTAATGTAGAATGGGCTTAATGTTCCGGTGACTTCGGTGGAAACTAGACCAGTGTGTTTAGAGTGGAGCCACATTTGCACCAAACTATAAACCAATTCATTTTATTGTTCTCACGTGGACAAACGAAAAAATAACAATAGTTTGCAAACACAAGATAATTTTAAATATTTGTGTATTTGATAGAAAATGGCAAATGAAGGAGAAATCAAGGTAAATAAGTAAAGACTAAAAGAGCTACGTTGTGTTATTAAAAATCAATATTTCACCATCTTCAATTGAACTAATTACTTTAATCGAAGATGGTAAAACCTGCTCTACGTATTAAATTATTTAATACAATATTACACATTTTAGGATAAATCGAAGCTAGTTAAATTGTTTTTGAAACATCAAGGTTTGGTGAAACAACATATAGATTCTTACAACTATTTTATTAATAAAGAAATAAAAAATATTGTTATAGCAAATGATCTAGTTTTGAGTGATCAAGATCCTAATTTTTATCTCAGGTAAGAGCAATATATTACTTAGAAAATGGAAGTTGTAGAAGTGTAAACAATCATCATTCATTGTTAAAAGGTACTTGAATATAGAAGTAGGTTTGCCTGAAATTGAAGATGGCTTTAAAATACCACAATCAATTACACCACATGACTGCCGCTTAAGAGATTTAAATTATTCAGCTCCAATTAAAGTAGATATTGAGTATATACGAAACAATCAAAGAATAATAAGAAAAAATTTGTTACTTGGAAGGTAAGAATGAGAAGCATATCTAGAGTAGAGAGAGAAAGAGAAAAAATTATGTGTGTGTGCATGTATGTGTATGTGAACAAGTGCTGTATATAAAAAAATTATGAAAGAATAGTATACATGTAAATTTGCAGGATGCCAATAATGTTACGCAGTTCAAACTGTGTGCTAACTAACAAATCTCAATCTGAGTTAGCTAAATTAAATGAGTGCCCACTTGATACTGGTGGTTATTTCATCATAAATGGTCAAGAAAAAGTTGTATTGATACAAGAACAAATGGTAAGAAACAGAATCATTTTAGAAGAAGATGGGAAGGATGTTCTTGCTACATGCAACAGTTTTACTCATGAGAGAAAAACTAAAACAACTATAGTAGGGAAAAATGGAAGATATTATGTAAGACACAATATCTTTCAAGAAGATATACTGGTTACTGTCTTTTTTAAAGCTATGGGTTCAATAAGCGATCTAGACATTATGCAAATGGTTGGAACAAGTGACAGATATCTGAACAAATTTGCAGCCTGTTTAGAAGAGTGTCAAGAAATGAAAATCTTTTCACAGAATCAAGCATTGCTGTATCTCAATAGTAAACGACAGATGCAAAAAACACCTTATAAAAAAAATCATTCAGATTCCTATCAGTATATTGTAGATGAAATGAAAGATATCTTAGCGCTAAACTTTTTGTCTCATGTACCTGTAAAAAACTTCAGTTTTCATCTAAAGTGTCTGTATCTTGCTTTGATGGTCAGAAGAGTTATTAATGCGCAGTTTGATCGCAATCTAATTGACGACAAGGATTTTTATGGTAATAAACGCTTGGAACTAGCTGGTTCTCTTCTTGCTCTGATGTTCGAAGATTTGTTCAAAAAATTCAACAAAGACCTCAGACAGATTGCGAATAAGAACATTCCCAAGATAAAAGCTGCGCCATTCGACATAGTCACACATATGAGACCTGATCATATAACAAACGGCTTAAATTTCGCAATATCAACTGGTAACTGGGTAATCGAGAGATTTCGAATGGAGAAGCACGGGGTGACACAAGTGTTGTCACGACTTTCGTATATTTCGGCACTTGGCATGATGACACGAGTAAATTCCCAGTTCGAAAAGACTAGAAAGGTATCCGGTCCACGATCTTTGCACGGATCTCAATGGGGAATGTTATGTCCTAATGACACTCCTGAAGGTGAAGCTTGCGGTCTGGTAAAGAATTTGGCTCTGATGGCTCACATAACAACAGAAGTGCCAGAAGAATCGTTAATACAGTTAGTGCTTAATCTTGGCGTATTTAATATTCTTATTTTTGGCGGCGAAGAAATAGCTGAAGAAAATGTATATACCGTCTTTGTAAACGGTAATTTAGTGGGTATTACGGAGGACTATAAAACTCTAGTAAAGTACTTCAGATTGTTACGCAGAAAAGGAAGAATCAACTGCTTCGTATCAATATCTGTACAACATAAGATTAAGTCTATTCAAATCAGTTCGGATGGCGGAAGATTGTGCAGACCGTGCATTATTGTCAAAGACGGAAAACCGCTTCTTGAAAAGAAGCACATGGAAATGCTCGAGATGAATCTTTACACCTTCAATGACTTTATCTTAGCTGGTAAATAATTCGAAATGTAATCATATTTATTAGTGACTATATATTACTAATGTAATCGTTGTTTGTTATTTCTAGGGGTGATTGAATATCTAGATGTTAATGAGGAAAATGATAGCTATATTGCATGTACAGAAGCTGATCTCACTGCGGAACACACACACTTGGAAATTGCTGAGTTTCCTATTCTGGGTGTGTGTGCTTCTACAGTACCGTTTCCGCATCATAATCAAAGTCCAAGAAATACTTATCAATGCGCTATGGGTAAACAGGCGATGGGTGTCATTGGATACAATCAACGTAATCGCATCGATACGGTGATGTATAATCTGGTGTATCCGCAGAAACCTTTAGTGAAGACACGTGGGATGGATTTGATTAATTACGACAAATTACCAGCGGGTGAAAATGCAATTGTGTGTGTTATGTCATATAGTGGTTACGACATAGAAGATGCGCTTGTTTTCAATAAAGCCTCCGTTGACAGAGGATACGGTAGATGTTTGGTATATCGAAATGCAAAGTGCACAATAAAAAAATATGCAAATCAAACTTCTGACAAGTTTATGGGACCGTTATTAGATGCCAATACTAAGAAACCTATTTGGAAGCACGATATTATCGAAAACGATGGTATTGCAGCACCTGGTGAAATGGTGGAAAACAAACAAGTTCGTATTTACATTATTCTCTCTTTCTCTTTTTTATACAAAATAATTTTTAAAAGTGTTATAGTTAATATTATGCCGTTTTTAGGTGTTGGTAAACAAATCAATACCAGTACCTAGTGGAAATATCGGTCCGGTAGGTTCTAGCAATGTACAAACGGAGTATCGTAATGCAGAAGTTCACTATAAGAATCTAGTGCCTGCATATGTAGAGAAAGTTATGATATCTACTAATACAGTCGATAGTCTTCTAGTGAAATTATTGTTGAGACAAACCCGTAGACCTGAAATTGGTGATAAATTCAGTAGTCGTCATGGTCAGAAAGGTGTTATAGGTATGTTTCTTATATTTTTTTGTGCAAAACATGTGTACGTTATTTAAGAAAGATGCTTTAATTTCCAATTATATTTTAGGTACAATTGTTGAACAAGAAGATATGCCATTTAATGATCAGGGTATTGTACCTGATATCATTATGAATCCGCATGGTTTTCCATCTCGAATGACAGTTGGAAAACTATTAGAGGTACTTGCCGGCAAAGCAGGCGTTGTAAGCGGAAAATTTCATTATGGGACAGGTATGTTTTATAAGAAAATAACATCGTAAAACTTTTTTGATAATTAAACTTAATAAATAAACAAGTCTATGGAGCCGTTTCGCAGGATGTCTTGCGGAAAATATGTCTTATATGTGTTTTTTGATAATGTTTAAACTATGTGTAAAATTATTGTTTGCAGCGTTTGACAGTGACAAAGTAGAGGACATGTGTGAAGAATTACAAAGTCATGGTTTCAACTACTTAGGTAAAGATTTCTTTTATAACGGTATGACTGGGCAGCCTCTGCAAGGATATATCTTTTCTGGTCCTGTAAGTTTTTCCTATAATTGAATTATAAGAATTTTTCTCGATAACTTCATTTATCTAACATAAAAAAAAACAATTTAAGTTTTTTATATAAACAATGTTTGAAAAGTAATATTTGTTTCTGTAACAATTTTATTTTTATTACTTTTCTAGAATTTTGTTAAAATAAGAAAATATTCTATACTATCTTTTTTCTAGTTTTTCTTTCAAAGTATGATTATTTAAATAGTTATAAGTGTTTAATTTGTTAAGATATAATACAGTCGAACCTCGATAACTCAAATCTCAAGGGAAGAGCTAAAATCTTCGAGTTGTAGAAGTTTTGACTTATCGAAGTTCTGTCTTCCTTTCCGCGGAGCGGAAGGGAATGAACAAAATTTTCGTCTTATAGAGGTTTTCGAGTTATAGAGGTTCGAGTTATCGAGGTTTGACTGTATATGTATATTTGAAATTTGATATAGGTTTATTACCAAAAGTTGAAACACATGGTGCAAGACAAAATTCATGCTCGCGCCAGGGGACCACGAGTAGTATTAACGCGACAACCAACAGAAGGACGTTCCAGAGAGGGCGGTTTACGTCTAGGTGAAATGGAACGTGATTGTTTGATCGGTTACGGAGCCAGCATGTTGTTAGTGGAGCGGCTCATGATATCAAGTGACGCGTTTAAAGTTGATGTTTGTAACAAGTGCGGTTTGATAGGATATAACGGTTGGTGTCAAAGATGTAGTTCCAGTTCGTCTGTTTCCACAATTACAATGCCTTATGCTTGTAAATTACTGTTTCAAGAACTACAATCCATGAATGTAGTACCTCGTCTGACAGTAAAAGATTATTGCGACTGATTAAACTTTTTAGTAAAATTGTATATATTGTTTCTTTTTTTACGATGTTTTTCTCTTTTTATGATTTTTCTTCAACGTTTTTGTCGAACACATTTGACTATTTGGAATCAGTAATGCTACTTTTTTCAGGAAGCAAATATATATCCAATCAATGAAAATATGTATAATTTAACTTTATTATAACTAACTTTATTCTACACTTATCTAATATTTTTTGTATTTTTTACAGTCAAATGTTTTATATTAATAAAGTTATATTACTAAATTTATTTGAGATTTTACTCAAACACTTAGAAGTTTACGTTATGTTTTAAGTTTTAAGGTAGTTCTTGTGCGACTCAAGAGGCACGGTAGTGCCTCGCGCGAAGTTTACGAAGTCGCGCGCAAAGGCACAAGGCACTTCGTGCCTTTTTTATGTGAAACTGATATTTTAATGAAATATTGAGAAAATGAAATCGTGATATTTTAGTAACGAATAAATCGATCGACTTCGTTTTAGTCGCAATCGATTCGGAATGAAAAGATGAATAAAAAAGTGTTCTTGTGTTTTTTGTGTCTGTGCTTTGTGATCGAAGATATTTGAAGATAATCCTAAAAATGTGTTGAATTCACATTAAGAAACGTGGTCATCGCTAGATCTTCACAAGTCATCGCATGTGTGCATGTTTTTTCGCCACCAGATGGTTGCATGTACGAGCATGTTGAAAGAAGGAAAAGAAGAGATTTATTATACCCTCACTATGCACTTTTGGAATTTTCTTCGCGTCGCAGGTCCCAGGAGTTGAGCGGTTTCACGAGTGTCAAAACAACAACAAAAAATTTGAAGTGTAGTTAAGTTCAGTGAGTAAAAATAAATAAGTTAAAGGTGAAACATTGAATAAAGAGTAAAGGAAGGAGCATTTGCCCGAAAAAGTGAAGCCAGAATCAAACAAGCTATAACGTCACAAATGACGTCACTAGTGGCGCTAAATTTTTATTGCCTAAGTTTTTCAATCATATCTGAAATCCATTCACAAAATAATAAATATTAGATATTGTAATACACGATGTTTCAAAAATTTATGAAATAAATACATAATTATCATAAAAATGTATGTGTTTGTACTTTCTAAGTTGTTTTTCAAGTACTTTTATTATATTATTTACAAATACATATAAATTTTATATACAAATAAAACTTCATTTGTTAAAAATATGCTAATAAACAGAGTCTTTATAATAAATATATTGGTATGAGTTCCTTAAGTAGAATATTGAATTTCAGATTCCCTGGGGGAATAATAATGTATCTGTAAAAAAATACAAATTTATAAATAAAAGAATCAGTAGTAAAACCCGATGAGCAGTAAGTTCAAAGTGGTGATAAATAAAAGGAACAAGAAAATAATGTTTTATTGCCCTTTATGAATTATTAATTTAGTATAAAAATTACGGATATATTCTGAGTTTTCTTTCATAGTCTTACACATATAAGATAATCGTACATTAAAATATTTTTTAACAATATTCTCTATTAAATTACTCGCATGTGTTACTAAAGTTTCTTCAAAATGATCCCATAATTTAAGTAAAATATTTTTATTTAAAAAGTGTTGTATAATGGTATTTTCTATACTAGCTTTTACCATTGCACTGTCAGAAAGCTCATTAGGCAAATATGATCTTATTTCTACTTCTATTTCCATACGTATAGTTATTAAATCATCACTAGGATAAGTTAACTGAAACTTTGGTTTCTTATTTGCACTGAAATTACATCTTTGGTTATTATTTTCTATTTGAAAATTACAGTTTTCATCACAGTTTTTATTATTATAAGCGATATTCTTAATCGACGAAGAAACAACATAATTAATATTTTTTTTGTCAATATGATTTGAAATGTAAAAGTTTTCAAAATTTTGATTTTTGAAAGCTAAAAATGTATTCTCAAGATCGTTTTTAGCACCTGTTAATGCAAATGAATAAATTTCACATTTCAATAGTTTTTAATAAAGCAGCTGCAACAAATCCACTAACATATATTACAACTTGTTTAGAAAATTGTGAAAACTGAGGTTGAACAATGTAATCATGATCTTGTAATTTAGCATTATCAAGTAGGAAATTGTTAGTTTTATCATTGCAACTATTAATTGTATTAATTTTTTGAGCTTGGAGAGCATCAGACTTTTTAGAAGTAAATGTAAACATTTCAAAATAGTAATTTCACTTAAAGGTATACAATTACCACATCCATGGTCTCTTATTTCCGCATGTATTAAAAGTTTTTTATAAGCAACTGTGAATTGACGACAAGTCGGATTATTATTATAACCGCCACAACCTCTTATAGATCCAAAAAAAGTTCCAAATGATCTTGATTCAATTTGTAACATGGGATAAAACTTAATAATTTTAAATCTTGTACATATCTTTTAAATATATTAATGACACTTTTTAAAGCAATGAGTATACTTACAAATCCTGTACTTTTTTTACTGTTTGTTAATATAGTATTGTCTATAAGTTGTAAGGTTTTAATAAAGAATAAATATCTTTATAGAATTTCTCAACATTTTTAATATTTTGTTCACATAATGCTTGTTTGTATCCAACACCTGATAATTTATGTGAATTTAAAATATCAAATGCGTCGTTAAATATTGTAATAAAGTTAATTGTCGCTTCAGCTCCAGAAAACTCTTGTATTTCTAATTTATCTTTACAATACATTAAAGCTTGAGCAACAGATCTACTCATTAACTGTGTGGCTAACTTCACTTTCATTTTTTGTTTAAATAAAATTTACGTGTGCTGTACGTAAATTATTTGCTAAATGCATTCCTTCTGTTTGCTGCAATTCATTTAGTTTCACGACATACTTAAAATCAATTTTTTCATTATTATTATCAATAATGATATTTTGTCCAAATATATTTCTAATAAGTTTAATCATATGCGGCGGATCAGGAATTATATAGAGTGAGAATTGCATATGTCTGATTCAGAACCTAATTGTTTTGTCTCATTTATGAAATTTTCTATATGATTATTACATTCGAGTCTTTTAAACGTAGCAAAGTTAGTTCGGGTTCCATCAAACGTTAAATTAGTTACAATAATATTGCATTCTTGCAAAAGACGAAGACAATGTTGAACTAAATTAGCTTTGGTTTGACTGTCAATACTATCGATAAAAAAATATCCTACTGGAACTTTCCAAGTCTCATTTATAGCTACTACCATAAAAACTAAGACTTGTTTAGCTTCACCAATACTTTGATATTTTATATCATTTCCTATGTCGACTACACCATATAATTTGTCAGCTACTCATTCTACCAATGAAAAGAAACTCTGTTCTCTTGACTTTAATTTACAAGTTTTCTGGCACTCGTAATATTAACTAGCACGAGCACTGAAAAAGATTCGGACGACCGACAACTGACCGCGTATACACGACGGCAGCAATATTTATTCGACAGTATCACGTTGACCGACAATGTTCAAAATAGGCCGTTGCTTCGACTGTACAGCTGCGAAACGATAACCGAACACGTGAACTTGATTTCAATGTTCTTCAAGAACATTCGACAGCGACTTCGACAACACGGTTGACCTTCGACAGTATCGAGATGATAACTCAAGGCGACCCCGAACAACTCGACGTATAAATGGATAATAATTAAAGTCTTTTCGGCAATATTCACAAGAATATCCTTTATTTAATAAACCACTATACATCAGTATGAATCCGACGCGACTCGGATATTCTACATAAGTAACACTCCGAGTAATTATACTAATCGGTTAACGACACGCCAAAGATTCGACTTGACACTCCCTACGTCTAAACTCAACGCAGTTCCGAACGAGAGTGCCTCGCTTCTTTCCATGCTTTTCGGCGGCAGGATCGGTTTCGCCGGTATTTTTGCGTGTACAATGCGTGTTCCATCACGTGTTATTTTCGTCGCACTGCGTGATAGACGCTGTTACTCGTAACGTGGTGCCGCAAGGCGGATTTCTTACATAAACTTATTTCATCAAACACTAATGAACACAAAATCTTCTTCTAATTTCAAAAAATCTTCAACTCCCGTCGAGTTTTGTTTATAATAGCTTCCACCTTGCTAGTATAATCTCGAACGTAACTTTTGCTGAAAATTTTGAGCTTATTTCACTCGACGTGGTTTCTCTTTTTACTAACATTCTTATTGAACTTGTAATTAGTGGTTTGGAAAAGAGATGGCATTTAATAACACATAATAGTTTACCTGAAGAAGAATACTAGTTTACCTAAAGAAGAATTTTTTCTAGCAATCAATCTGGTGTTCAACTCTACTTTTTTCCTGTTTAATAACAAATATTACAAACAGACCTTTGGTGCTCCTATGGGCTCTCCACTCTCTCCGATCCTTGCAGACATTGTAATGCAGGATCTTGAAACATCCATTTTTGGATCTCTCTCTTTTCGTCTACCTTTACATGTCAGATACGTCGATGACATAGCTCTCATGGTTCCTAAAGAGCAATTTGATGCTGTTTTAAATCTTTACAATGCTTATCACCCACGCCTTCAATTCACTATGGAGGTTGGTGGGGATAGACTCAAGTTTTTGGACATTACTATTATTAAAAATAATAACAGATTAATACACGACTGATATCATAAGCCAACGTTTTCTGGTAGATACCTGAACTATTTTTCCAACCATCCTATTTGCCAAAAAAGAGGCACGATCATCAGCCTCGTGGACAGAGCCTTCTTTTTATCACATCCTAGATTCCATTCCAAAAATTTTGACTTTATTTTTAATTTATTAATTGACTACAACTATCCGATGGACTTCATTTATGATAATTTCATCCTTAGACTGAAACAGAATTTTTATAAAAATAATGACATAAGAAGGTTTTTGTCTAGCAAGAGTTCTAATGACATACAGCGTCACTGGTTTGTCTTGCCTTACATTAATAAATTTTTGGAGAGATTTTCAAAATTATTTCCTTCTGACTCATATACGCGTTTAGCTTATTATAACCTCGACAAATTGACTAAATTTATCAAAGTTCTTAAGGATCCTTTGCCCCTTCTCTCACATCCTTCCGTAGTATATAAGATCAAGTGTCGTGATTGTGAAGCTTCGTATGTAGGACAAACTGGCAGAATGTTACAAACCAGAATTAAGGAACATAAAAGCCACATTAATAGAAATTCCACTCAAAAATCTGTAATAACTGAACACAGATTGCAATACTCACATGAATTTGAGTGGGATAGAGTAGAAATATTGGATTATGAGAGATCTTACAGCAAAAGACTGGTATCAGAAATGCTACATATAAGAAGTCAAGTCTGCGGACTTAATCTACAGTGTGACACGGAAAATTTAGATAATTCATATTTACCGTTTGTCGATAAGACTTCATAAAGTGTTATGTTATTTGTAGATTTGACTTCTATTTTTATACACACGTTTGTTTCTCAGTCGCGTTTTCACTCTTGTAAAGTGTTGGTCGGGACGACTTGTGCAACATGGACATCCACGATCAGCACTCAGCGACGTATAATAGCTAAGATATTTGTAAGTGACTTTTGTACATTGTTTTTATTCTGCGATTCTTAATTAATTATTTTCAAATTTCATTAATTGGATTCTACGCTAATTCTTTGTAGAAATGCATTTGATAAGGACCTAATTAAAAGGTTGAAAACGTTTATGCTATAGATTTTTAATAAACGAATTTTAAAAAAATACACACTCCAAAAACTGTGTTTTTGCTTCAACAGTCAAAAAATTCATTTGTTCATTGACAAAATCTTCTTATCTGAATTATCACTTTTTAATTTCAATACATCTAATATTTTTCTCGTAAATTCTGGTTTTGCATCAATAGTCTTATACCAATGTGACAACGTTTTTGAATGTGGTAAACAATTTTTAAAAATATTCCTTACATAATTATATGCTCTTGGAGAAAAATAATGAAGCGTAATTGCAAAACGTCGTACATTTTCTTTGTATTTATTTTTACAAATTCTATTCTTTTTTTTTTAAAATAATTTCTTAAAAATTATAAATTAGCAAAATTGTCTTGTAATACCTGTTCCATTTCATTGTTAATCATTTCTCGATTTTTCATATCTTTTAACAAAGTTACTAAATCCTTCAATCTTTTTTGCATCGTCTGTTCTGTTGCATCAAAATTTTTACGCGTTTTGCTTGAAGTTTTTTTATACTACGCTCTTTTAAAAGTTGAGTCTTCAAATTCCTTTTTGTTGGTGTATCGTATGTTGATGGATTTAAAATACTGCCAATAATGTTTGAAGATGTTGATTCTAATGGTGTTGTTTTTATTTCTTGTTGGTTCCCCTTACGGAAAAGAACTATTGCCGATTACATATAAATAAAGTAAGTAATATAAATATTACTGATAATCACACAAGAATATTATTAGGTATTACAGGAATCACTGAGAATATTACTGGCAATTACACAGAATGCCAGTAATGTTTTCGTACCACTGCCGCAATATATTACTGCCAGTAATTCTTTTTCGTAAGGGTCTTTTCCATTAATATATGTTTATATTAGATATTTTAGTAATCTAAAACTCAATATATATATTAAAACATAAATAGTAAGTAAATTATAAATCTTTAATTAAAGTAATATACCTTTGTTGTTGAGTCACGTACTTCTGGAAATTTGCACATAGTAGAATTGGTAACGTTTTGCATAACAAGATTAAAATTTCTTACCTGCAAAACGTAAAATATAATAGTACATTGCCCAATAATTTGTTGAACACATCATTGTTGAATAATAGAACAAAAGCTTATATTTGATAGAAACTTACATATTTTAATCTCTCAACATGTATAGATGGAATTGGCCTTAATATAGTTTCTATTCCAGATTTAAGAAAACAATTATCACTAAAGTGTTGAGAACAAATTCTGCTAGATTTTGAAGGTTCCCAATTTATTTTATTTACAAATCGTATCCAAGCTTCTAGTTGTGACATGTTTTTAAGAAATCTCTTTCTCTACAAAGTGTATAAAAATTACAAATATTAACAACATTTTATCAATAGTATTTTTAAATTTTTACGATAATCTCATGTTACGTCCTGACCTACGGTTACGATCGGGTCCTAACGGAGGAACGCAACTTGACACACGACACTTTCGTGTATTATATCTCGGCACACTGACCTAATGAGATAAGGCAAGCATGCGAGTCGAGCGAGACTGTTCAACGACGTAGTCAAGTCAACGGACTTGCCGATATTACTTGTCTAACGTCTTCTCACTCGTCGGTCTTCTTTTAGGTCTTAGAAACAAGTCTAATTTACCTGGGACAGAACCTGGTGATCACGTAATGAGATTATAGGAATGAATTTTCAGGATAGAAGTTCAAAGTTTAATTAGTTGAAGCCGTTTTCATTCTTATGAGCATATACATCATTTTTATTCAAAGTATTAACATTTAGGTTTATCCAAAAATACTCTTACGCAAGTCAAATTTAATAATTGGACGTGTGATGAAGTTCGGTGTGAATTTGAGTATACATTGGCATTATTACTATGTTTGATCCTGGGCGTTCGTTATTAACATCACTGTTAGTATTTTCAATATTTTAAATCCTTACGTAAATGAGCACCGTTATTACTTAGGCTATTGCCGGATAGACAGGGTTTGGTACGCTTCGGTTCGCCGCTCGACGGGCAGCGGTTCTCCGCCGCAAAGTTCGGTTTCGGATATCGCGTTGTTAGAATCACGGTTGATTTTCGGAGCGGTATGACAACTACATAAGATTTGCTACTGCTCAAAGTTCGACAGTGGTGATTGGAAATCGGCAGCGGTTCAGAACAACTGACGTGAAACGCTAATCTGATAGAAATGGAAGTCAGCAGTGGCCCGGAACGACACACAAGGTCGTGAGCTGCTAGTCTGACAGGAAGGAAAAGTCAGCAGCGGCCCTGAACGATTCGCAAGATCGTGAGTAGCTAGTCTGACGGAAAAGGAATCGGCAGCAGTTCGGAACGGATTGACACCACGAAACGCTAGTCCGGCTAGAATGTCGAGGAGAAGGATTTACCAAATGAAGCAGTTATTAATTGAATTGTCGAATTTAATCCTTTTCTTCCGAATATCAACCGTCTCGAAAAAGATTTTACTGTGTGTGCGTGGGAACCTTAGATTTGTTTTGCAAAACTATTACATTAGTAAGTACTCACTACTTATTGTTTATAGTAGAATGTCGAGATGAGTGATTGATTCGCTTTGCCCAAGAGTCAGGAATCTGTCAGCTGGACTCAGGTGGGATGAATTGGTCGTCTCCTCCGATAGGAGTTGTCACTAGTTGCACTGTTCACTCGGATTTACGTGCCGAGATCGATGTCAAATTGAGAAACGTTCGGATCACAGATTTGAACAACAAATTTGTGGCATTTTTTATGTCGACTCCGTTGCCTTAAAAAAGCGTTGACGTTTATTTTGTTACACCACTGACGTTTCTTACACACACAATATAACGCAATATAAATGACATATTTCTATACTGAGGGAGAAGTCAGATGGTGCGGAACGTGCGTAATGCGGAACTGGCGGAACGTTCGTGATTGGTCGTGACTTGATTCCGTCGATCCTGCAATCAAGTCACAACCAATCACGAACGTTCCGACAGTTCCGCATTACGCACGTTCCGCACCATCTGATTTCTCCCTGAGGGCGATGTCCCATTGAGCGGAAATATATAGCGGAACGGAATGTGCGGAACCAGCTCGACCTGGGACATCGCCCTGAGAATATACGAAATTATAGGTGTTGACAGAAAGTTCAGCCATTTGTAATGCGGATAATGATGATTGGTGGCTTCATCCCCACTACCTAAGTTAGCGATCTAGTGTAGTATAGAAATCTGTGGTTCGGATCGTGAGGATCTAATTCTCACAACCGAATTTCAGACCAAACAGGACAAGCGAGTATCTTTTCGTATGACCGAATTGACTCTAAGTTAAATTGTTGAATTGAACTTCGAGAAGGAATAAAACTGTGTTAATAATCGTAATGCTGGTTATGGAGCGTGCTCTCCGATGTTCCAACGCCTTATATATGATGATCTCGGGGCGTTAATCCTTCTGATTTTTGCCAATCGTCTTTAGATTTTANTCTCCCACTCTTTACTGATTAAAATTTCGATCCTTCATTTGCTAATCCGACCAGGCGAGAGGACCAATCACCGACAATCATTCTTTCTGACTCACTCAACATGTGTTTAAACTTCATTATCTGCACGTGCAATTTCTTGTTTATTTTCGGTGCCATAACGTTCCTTGCTAGAGATTAGCGGACCACCTAAATTATCTAAGTTTTTATTCGCGAATTATTCGCGAACCAAACATCCGGGCCACTTATTGACTAATTGGCCGATATCCCTTTAAAAGTCGGTAAGAGTGATTAGATTAAAAAAAAATTGCGATACGGGTCTGTTTGTCTTAGTTTAATAGGTCCTTTGTTCTCTGCTTAAGGATTGTTATGTAAAAATTAATTCTAAGGCGCAAATCTTAAAGCTAGTTTATGTCTGGTTCCAAACAGAAGGGGACTGTAGAGTCCAGGACGTAACACTCATGATTAAGAGAATGCTGAACTGACAAAGAAAGTTCGCCACAAATGCCACAAATTAACAGCTACGCTGTCGGGTAGCGCCATCTCTCGGGACCGAGTCAAATAAAAACAAGGATAGATGACATGAGAGAGACAAGGATAGACATGAGTCTTTCCGGCGGTTTTGCTAAACCTGCACTAATCTTATTGTCACATTTTCTCTTTTTACAAGCTTCAAAATTTATTTCTAAAACAATCAAAATATTTGTCTATGTTTGTAAAATGGCTCGGACAATTTGTGTTGTGATTCATACTGCCACTTTTGCATACGAAGTCAAAATGTTTACGTGATTGTTACGTCCTGGAGACTCCACGGTCTCTTTTTTTCTGCGACGCGACGCGCCAGCGCATAGCAAACCCTTTTTTTTTGTAAATAATAATAAATAACTCGAACGGGTCTCCTAACGTTTGGAAACTTAAAACTCCAGACGATAGGAGAGCAAACGGAAATTATATCGGCGCCCGAAAAGATAAACCGCGTTTGGCAATAACACGAAATTTTAGATAACTATTCGAGCAGCTTTCCAAACAAACCCGGATATTTCCTGGTCATGAAAACACCGGTCATAAAAATTAGAGCGGCCGGCGCAAATAGAAACTCCGGCATATTTATTATAAACAAACAACAAGAGGTCTATGCGGCGTGATCAAAAAGACAACACTCTCCTTTTTTTTCTCCGAAAAATCGGACGAGGCGACCGAAGCGAGAGGTCGTCGCCGATTGGCGATCTCGTAAGTCGCCCGACCGACTAATTAACAAATAGAAACCAGCAAGGCCCAACCGAGTTTTCCGATTGGAAGAAACTCGGTGAGCACTCACCGACTCAAAAAGGTATATAAGACGGGACTTTCGGAGCTGGAGTCGGAAAAAACCTACTGATTCTGCCGGGAGTGCCGCAGCAAAGTCGCGACGTGTGAGCATATAAGTTACAAGTGCAAGTGCGAGTAGTGCGCCAAGAATCCACCGAACACCGAAGCCGCACCAGGTTCAGAACTACCTAGCCAGCCGTACGGGCCGAAGGGACAAAGGAAATCGCAGCAGTCATCTAAGTAGTAAGTCCACATCATTATATATACGGAGGTTCCACTTCTCGCGAAATTAAAAGCTGACGTCGCGATTGATTTTTGGAGATATCGGGAAACGGACAAAATAAACAAATATATAGATACACTCAAAATTCGGAAGGGCTACTCGCGGTGTGTAACCGTCTTGGGTGGCAACCGAAATCTTCGGAAGGGCTACTCGCGGTGTGTAACCGTCTTGGGTGGCAGCCGAAATCTTCGGAAGGACTACTCGCGGTGTGTAACCGTCTCGGGTAGCAGCCGAAATTTTGGAAAGGCTACTCGCGGTGTGTAACCGTCTTGGGTGGCAGCCGAAATTTTGGAAGGGCTACTCGCGGTGTATAACCGTCTCGGGTGGCAGCCAAAATCTTTTTCTTTATTTTCTTCCCTAAACCACGTGGTAAACAAGGCTCAACATCTCCGAAAGGAGTCGCAAAGCCAAGAAAATCAATAACAAAAAAATCAATAACATAAATTGTAATTGAGTGTAATTGCATAAAATCGTTTAAGTGGAACCCCGGCAGAGAATATCGCGAGCGAGTAAAAAGGCCCAGCGCTACCGACGCAACGCAAAATTGCGACGAGCGGCAGCGCTCGCGCAAAACGAAGCGGAGCCGACTAGGCCCATTGACGCCTCCTCTCCTCAGACATTAAGAAACGATTCCAGCAGCGACAATAGAATAAGAAACCCCACCGATATACATACAACTCAATCGCACGCGCACTCACACTCACCGACGCATTCGCAACACAGACACACATACACACGACGATTCGTGGTATGAAGCTCCTTCCTATTCACCGATAACCCCCGATTTTCCCGCAGACGTTCAGTCCTCCCCTTGTCCGCCCGTGAACAATCCGCCCCCTTCACCTCTTTGCTCCCCCTCTCCAACGCACTCCGAACCCGCTCGTCCCGCGGAAAATCCCGCGGATCTGCAATCCGCGCCGACTCCTCCACCTCCTCCTCGCTCTCCTTCCCCTCAACCTTCTACGTCCAGAGATGAACCCGCGAACGATGAATTCTCCGACACGACATGACCAACCACCCTTCCGCTCGATCCTAAATTCCAACACTTCCTTCGCCTAACCTCCACTTACAAAAAAGCAAATCCTGAAAGAATCTCCTTTGTCCTTGATCCTCTAACAACAGATCCTTCCGACATCTTCCGGTTGATAACCACCACTCCGGCCAGAAAACTCCTCCCTGTCAAATTTCCTTATATAGATGACATCCGTTTAGTTCCCGTTCACCATTTTTATTCAATATTCCTTCCGCAAAAATCCATGAGATCATCGAAATAGATCTTGAATGATTTCTATACCACGAATCGGCGCCTTAAACATGCACCCGACGCACTTACACCTGTAAAACCCTGCCGGAGGCTCCTCACACACATCCTCGGGTCACGCATACACACACATATATATTCCCCCTCTCTAGCCTCCAAGCGATGACCCTCCGTTTCAATGTAAAATTCGCGACATCACACCCAACCACACGACAACATGGCTAAAAATTGTAACGCCAACCCTTAAATCAATAAGTTAATATTGTACGCATCATAATTTTTTCTTTTAATTAAGACGACTTCTCATCATTCCACATCCTCAATCGATCGCACGGTCTCGTCCTTAGTCCGTGGAGTTAATTCTCCAGACTTAAAAAGAGACCGACGAGTGGGGCCTCATAGGACAGAGTGAGAGCGGCATACGCCGTTGACCTGCCCGTGAGAGCACACAAACCCGCTCGACTCTGCCGCAGCGGGATCACCAATCTGCTGTGCGGAGATAGAAAGAGAAACGACAGCTTTCTGTTTACTCCATCATAGCCCGACCGTAACCGTGGGCCAGGACGTAACATGATAATAGTTCATAAAATTTTTTTCGCTTTTCTTGTTGATTTTCAGGCCATATCTTAGCATATTCTCTTTCATTCTGGAAAAGCGTTTTCCATTCCGATCAATAGATGCAGAGTAAGTTGTGCAATAAAAAGTGCCGGTAAAACAGGAAGGTTCAGCATCCTCTTAAGTATGTGGCGACTACAGCCACCACCATTACCGACCAACGGCCGGCCGCGCAGTTTGAGCGCGCCGCCGCTACACGGCGCATGGCCGCGAGCCGTAACACGGTAGTGAAAAGTGCGGCGGCGTCAATATAACAGCGACGCCAAACCGTATTGCCACGATCCGAAAAGTTCCGGACTGCGGAGCAGGACTACCAGCACCGGCAGACAACAAGGAGGCCAGGATCAACCCCGAGGAAGCTTCTACAAGCTCGCTGGCCAAGACTCCTCAATCACCATCACTATAATCGGAGGTGCAGGTCCTCATCCCCGGCTACCTTGGCAAGCCACCGGGATTTCGCTACATCACCAAGGCACCGCTACGAAGCGTCACCTTGGGACCTTCCACCACGCATCACACCGGACGATCTACAGCGCACGCTACTACGCAGACGCTACTCCGTGTCCACAGGGGAAATCAGGTCTCGCTCCCTGCTCCTCGGCCACTATATAAGAAGCAGGAAACGCAGAGCGACCACAGTGACTGGGAGACCTCTCCACGGAGAACACGAGCCGTCCAGACCGATATCACCGGCGAGATCCGCAGCAGAGATCATCGATCTACAGAGAGACGACGTCATCGCTCCCGCAGCCAACAGCGCTCGCCACGGCGATCAAAGAGCCCACAGGGAGTACGTCGAAGCAAGAAGGAACACGATCGTAACCGCCGACATCACAGGCTCTCAAGAAAACCGCTTTACACTATAACTCTAAACGGTTCTTGTCAGAACCTATCTGTACATAACTTGTAAATAATTGGACATAGAAATATATCCTTTTGGATATATTTACTAGAGCGTAATCATTAGCGCTCCCTGATTTATCCACAGTCCCGGCTGCTTACATCTCGCTGCTAATCCTTATCCGCTGCTGTACGAACACGCCCACAAAGTATATATATTTTTTTATTTAAATTATTTATTCGAGATAACCTAGAAAACTTTACAAACAATATTTTATAATATTACTTACGAGTGATAAGATACAGAGAAACCATTGTGATTAATACTTTTCGACAACAAACAAACCATTTTTCTTGATATTCATATAACAAAAAACTTAAGAGAATTAAAATTGCTTGTATGTATATTGCACTCGCGTTTACACGATTTACACACACTAGTCACATTCTCATATCTATGAAGTGACGTCAAGTCCGCCATCATNGATAAAATGTGACGTAGACGGCTTCATCCCCCACTCTCAAAACTTCGGCAAATGCTCCTTCCTTTACTCTTTATTCAAAGCGTTGGTAAAAGCGTTGCCAAACAAGTTGCAGGATTTTAGGCAATTCAAAAAATCACTTTTATGTGAGTTAAAATACAAACGTTTCGACTTTATTTTAAGTCTTCTTCAGTGTTGTCTGAAAAGACATAATATCCCAGATAGCCAAATGTGAAAACTCAATATAAAGCAAATCATTGTATAGATTAAGTTGCTCGCCAATTGCTGTTGTGTTGTTTTTATTTAATGCAACGAAAATGTTTTTGTCAATTCAGTATCGATATGCTGAGTTTTATTATCAATCAATTGTTGTAGCCAATGTTTATGACAAGTGAGTCAGCAATATGTGAGCAATATATGAGCAATAATTGTTATTCATAAATTGAGAAAAATAATAGAAGTTTATTGCCGATGAGTTGTTGGGAACTTGCTGTTATTATATCTTGTAAACTGTTGCTGGCAAGAACATACCGAAAAGAGGATACATCCTTTTGTTACATTGCTGAAAACATATGCGCAATATTTGTGGCAAATTGCCAACAACTTGCACTCAGTTGGCCATCTGGGATGATACAAGTAATTTTAGTAATTACACAGTTTGTCCGGAAAGTTCCCGGACTACGTGAATTAAAAATCGAAAATGAAAGATATGGTTTATTAAACAAGTTTACACTTCAAGGTAGTC